AGGAAAGTTGTGTAAAATATTTTATAACATTTGAGACGAATGAGAAAGTTATATACTGTCTGTGACATCATTAGTTGAGTTTTCCGAAAGACAGTGATAAACTTGAAAAGGTTTTGGGGACTGCGTCAACGATGACGTCTCTCGGGGAAGATAAAAGTTAATTGAAGAAGCAGTGTGGTCGAATACAGAGCAAAACATTAATGATAAGAATATGTATTAGTTATAACAAAAAGCAAACAATTTTTTTTATGCCAAAATGTTTTACACCTGTGTGGCTGGTCTTTAGACCATATAGGATGAAGATGTTCTGTAATGACAGGGGTTCGAACTAAAATTGCGACTCGCGCGTCCTAACCACCAGCATTCTCACTTTACTCTCCTCCATCTTAATTGTCTCTGTCTACATATTATTTTCCACCACCGTGACTGTCACTAACCACACTTTTCTTTCCTGTATATTGACTATCACCGTCATTATTTTTCACTACATTAACTGTCATTAACCACATATTACTTTCCTGCACATTCAATGTCTCTTATCATATGTTATTTGCCAGCGTCATGAAGGTCTTTAACCACCCATTATTTTCCAATATTTTAATATTAATCACATATTAATTTCCACCATCTTGAGCTGTCTCTAACAATACGTAACTTCCCACCACCTTTACGTTAATCACACATTACACTGTCTTAACTGTCACCAACCGTATATTACTTTCGGGCCAGCTTGAAACACTGAAAATATTGACACTAAAATTCTCTCTTGAAATATAAAAAAAAGAAATATTTGATTGTTATTGCTATCACAGCTTCTAAAATCACCATGAGAAAATATTCGAAGACATGGTAATTATGGTAAACAAAAACTTGTTGAGATGAACAAAATGCTTTAGTTTTTTGGAGTTATTTTATCAACTTACCTTTTTGTCATAAACGTTTATCATGATAATAGTTTTTTTAACGACAAAACAGCCTATCGGACTGTGCATAAGGAGTGTTACTAGTCTTTCAGTTTTGGTTATAGTACTTCTGTAAGAAGTTTCAGAACAGTAGCATCGCTTCACAAATAGGCTTAGCGTGTCAAAAAAGCTGAGCTCGCTTCCGCCAAAGCTATGGCATATTTGCGTATATGTGATAAATCGACCTGACTAAAAAGGCCTCACAGAAACTGCCATTTCCCACTCACTCTGAGCTTGGAGGCGGCGGCCGCCCGTGTTTCATAATCACTTAACAGTGATTGTGTTGGTTATACCCCCCCCCCCCAAGTGGCACAGCAGTATGTCTGCACACTTAAAATGCTAGAAATCGGGTTTCGATACCTGTGGTTGGCAAAGCACGGATAGCCATTGTGTTGCTTTGTGCTTAACTTCAAAACAAGCAAGCAAGCAAGTGTTGACTTTTGTTGTGATATGAAGGTATTCTTTTCGGCTTCAAGTTTTCTGATATAAATGATGGCCAAAACGTTTTTCGCGACATCTTCAGAGTAGTTCCAAACTCTGGAACATAAAACAAACATGCATCTTCAGTATGTTTGTTTTATGTTCCAGAGTTTGGAACTACTCTGAAGAAGCATGTTTGTTTTATGTTCCAGAGTTTGGAACTACTCTGAAGATGCATGTTTGTTTTATGTTCCAGAGTTTGGAACTGCTTTGTTGCCATATCATTCATGTTAATTTTCTTTGTGAATAATACTTG